CCTGGAATACACACGACACCACTGGTATACACGTACACTTATACACCACCATTGGTATACACTCACACCCTACACAGCTGGTATACTCACACACTACACCACTGGTATGCATTCACACTACACCACTGGTACACACACACACACACACACACACTACACCACTGGTATACACACACACACACACACACACACACACACACTACACCACTGGTATACACCACACACTACACCACTGGTATACACACACACTACACCACTGGTATACACTCACACACTACACCACTGACACACACACACACACACACACACACACACACACACACACACACACACTACACCACTGGTATACACTCACACACTACACCACTGGTATACACCACACACTACACCACTGGTATACCTCACACACTACACCACTAGTATACACTCACACACTACACCACTGGTATACACTCACACACTACACCACTGGTATACACTCACACACACCACACCACTGGTATACCTCACACACACTACACCACTGGTATACACTCACACACTACACCACTGGTATACACTCACACACACACTACACCACTGGTATACACTCACACACTTCACACTGTATACACTCACACACACCACTGTATACCTTACACACTGTTGCCTCACACTACACCACAGGTATACACTCACACACTACACCACTAGTATACACTCCACACACTACACCACTGGTATACACTCACACTACACCACTGTATACACTCACACTACACCACTGGTATACACTCACACACTACACCACTGTACACTCACACTACACTGGTATGCACTCACACACTACACCACTAGTATACACTCCACACTACACCACTGGTATACACTCACACTACACCACTGGTATACACTCACACTACACTAGTATACACTCACACACTACACCACTGGTATACACTCACACACTACACCACTAGTATACACTCACACACTACACCACTAGTATACACTCACACACTACACCACTAGTATACACTCACACACTACACCACTGGTATACACTCACACACTACACCACTAGTATACACTCACACACTACACCACTGGTATACACTCACACACTACACCACTGGTATACACTCACACACTACACCACTGATACACTCACACACTACACCACTGGTATACACTCACACACCATAGTATACACTCACACTACACCACTGGTATCACACTCACACACACACCACTGGTATACACTCCACACTCACCATGGTATACACTCACTACACCACTGGTATACACTCACACTACCACTGGTATACACTCACACACACTACACCACTGGTGCACTCCACTGGTATGCACTCACTACACCACTAGGTATGCACTCACACTACACCACTGGTATACACTCACACACTACACCACTGGTATGCACTCACACCTACACCACTGGTTGTACACTCACACTACACCACTGGTATGCACTCACACACTACACCACTGGTACTCACTACACCACTGGTATGCACTCACACTACACCACTCAATTACACTCACACACTACACCTGGTATACACTCACACTGCACCCACTGGTATGCACTCACACACTACACCACTGGTATGCACTCACCACTACACCACTGGCATCACCACCGCTAGTATACACTCACACTACACCCACGGTACATGCACTCACACACTACACCACTGGTATGCACTCACACACTCACCACTGGTATGCACTCACATTCCCCACTGGTATACACTCACACTACACCACTGGTATAACACTCACACACTACACCACTAGTATCACTCACACACACACCACTGGTACACTCACACTAGTACACCTTGCACTCACACTACACCACTGGTATACACTCACACACTACACTGTTGCCTCACACTACACCACTGAGGATGCACTCACACACTACACTAGTATGCACACTACACCACTGGTATGCACTCACACACACCACTTGTTGCACCACTAGTGCACTCACACTACACCATGGTATGCACTCACACTAGCCACTGGTGCACTCACACACTACACTGGTATACACTCACACACTACACCACTGGTACACTCACACACACTACACCACACAGTATACACTCACACACTGGTATACACTCACACACTACCACTGAGCCATACCTCCCCACTAGTATACACTCACACACTACACCACTGGTATACACTCACACACTACACCACTGGTATACACTCACACACTACCTGGTATGCACTCACACTACACCACTGGTATGCACTCACACACACTGGTATACACTCACCCTACACTGGTATACACTCACCACTACGCTGGTACGCACCACTACGCTGGTATACACTCACACACTACACCACTGGTATGCACTCACCACTGGTATGCTCACACGCCCATCACCTCACACTACACCACTGGTATACACTCACACACTACCACTGGTATACACTCACACTACACCACTGAACATCCACTCACACTACACCACTGGTATACACTCACACTACACCACTGGTATACACTCACACACTACACCACGGTATACTCACACACCACTGGTATACACTCACACACTACACCACTGGTATACACTCACACACTACACCACTGGTATACACTCACACACTACACCACTGGTATACACTCACACACTACACCACTAGTATACACTCACACACTACACCACTGGTATACGCCCACACTACACCACTGGTATACACTCACACACTACACCACTGTTATACACTCTTTACCACTAGTATACACTCACACACTACACCACTAGTATACACTCACACACTACACCACTGGTATACGCCCACACTACACAGCTGGTTTACATTCACTCACACACACACACACTACACAGATGGTATACGTTCATCTGTATACTATACAGCAGGTATACACATAGCATAGTACACAGCTGGTATACACAGTTGACATTCTCCGCCACACTACACAGCTTCTATACACTGTTGCTTTACGCTCAGCGACACACTACACGGGAGGAATTAGGGGGTAAACACTCCTCTACACCAGTTGACGTGTCTCCAACCCCCACTTGCAATATTTATCAGAAATACTCGACTAAACCTTGAATATTCAGCCACACCGGGAATAATCACCATCGCCAAGAATACTCGACCACTGCTGAAATATCCAGCCTCTCCTTAAATAATAGCCTACGCCTGGTATAATCACCTGGGCCAGTAATACTCCCCCCACAATACTGGTGATCGTGTTGTGCCTTAGCTGACTGGTCGATCAGTGTGGTATATAAAACATTTCGACTTTTTAAGTGGATCGTGCCAGCTTGGACGGCACTGTTACCTTCACAACAGTGTAAATCGTTACCATTGTGTAACTTACTCGCCCCAAGGCTACCTCCTGTGACACGTGACCTACTGTGGGTAGCCTCAGTGTTAGTGGCGGTTCCTCAACAATTTGGGGAGATTCCACTAGTACGGTGGACCCACCCACACTTCGTCCTTCTGTAGCGAAGTGAGGTACTTCCGTCTGCCCTGTCTGTGTGTTACTCTTGCTCCACACACGATATAAAAGACTTAAGGGCGTAAATACAAGTGTTTTTATATTACGTACAGTGTTGGGTTCCCCCGCAGGAAAATCTATAACTGTTATTAATATAAATATTTTGCTTCCAGTATACTGTACGGCATGTGGTATTTCATGCTCACTGTTGTTACCTGAGGAAATGCTTGCCTCAACACATGATACAATATTGTAAGTCTTAACTAGGATCTTTTTACTCTTCTGCAATATATTATAAGCGCGCAGTACTCAGCCTTCCCTTACGTATATGCATGATAGGTTATTATGGATAGTAATGTGCCGCACGTGCATGTCTAGAAGTATTGGGTGTACTCGACAGCCAGCAAGGACCTGATTGTACCGAACTCTGTAATCCACACATCGCCTGTGGTTACTGTCATAAACACATCAAGTTTATTTTAAGGTTTCTCCTCAAACTTCCCTGAGTTATCTGGCCACAGTATATTAGTGTAGTGTACAGACACACACCGGTCATGCGCGCGGTGTGGTTAATGAGATCGATACACACTTATGGGAGTGATTGGATTATTTACGTAACGGACGGGGTTGAGAAGAAACATTTTAGTGGAAAGCTCTCCACCAGCACCTTCCATCCCCCCCCCGTGCCATCCCACTCAGCACCAAGGTTGCTTGACGCAGGTGCGGGTAAAATGCGTCTTGTAGGTATGCAGACGGTCTTGGTAGGCCCAGGGGGAATAATAATGAATGGTTCACAGTTCGTATATATATATATATATATATATATATATATATATATATATATATATATATATATATATATATATATATATATATATATATATATATATATATATATATATATATATATAATCACTGATTGCGCTTGATCCAGGTATATGCTGATAGCACAAGAAGAAAAGCACAAGTTCCCAAACTTTCATGATTACACATCTTCAGGGGTGGTACAGACTGTACTCACCCTGAGTGTGAATTACTAGCCTTTGGGAATTCAATGTATATATATATATATATATAAATAATCAGTCCATATAGCAGTCAATGTGTACTTGTGTTTGTACGTATTCGTTAGCATATGAAGGTGTGTATACGTGTACAGTATGTGAATCTATATGAATCAGATAACGTCTGCCAGTCTGTAAGATTATCGTCAGTATGGGTCGAGCTGATGGTGTTGGTGTAACACTGCACTGTACAGTATATCATGCCGCTGAACGCTTTTGTTTGTGTAAGTGACACTACTGTGCTGTACAGTATGTGTAAATATATTACAGGTATATATTTTTGTATTATAGTTGCCTTATACAGTTAAAAATACGTATATTGATGACAAGTATATTTGTTCAGTAAGGGCGTGACAGACCATTAGATCAATAGTGTGAATAGATAAGTGTGTGAGGGGAGAGTAAGTCAATATGTGGGAGAGAGTGTGGCCCACCTGGTGGCGCGGGTGTGGTGTGTAGAGGTGGCACCGCTTACTCAGCTCACTTGCTCCACCACCAGTATGGCTTCCACACGCTCTTATTTTTGTCCTGATGCGTGGAAGTGTACACGTGATACCGCGATTCCAATGTGACGCTCAGCGGAGCTTCTCACTGTGTGTGCTGGGTGGGGCCTGCAGGTGAACTGCGCCAACCCCGCGGTCCACACCCTGGCCTGGGGTCTCCACGCTCCAGGCTGGCCCACGCCCTGCCCCGCCCCGCACCGCCCCGCCTCGCCCCGCCCCGCCCCGCCTCACCCCAAGTATCCCCGTACTGTCCTGTGGGGGTGGGGGTTCCCTTCAAGGATTACCTTCTCTTTATGACCTTAAGACCATATTTCCAATTTCACACGTGAGGGTGTTGCTAACACTGCCTGGTCCCTGGGCTGATAGGCAAGCTGTGCCCCCTAGGGTTGATTATACCAACACGAGGGAAGCACGTGTGTTTTAGAATTATGGGCGACGCCAAGTTGGTGGGCACTGGGGGTGGGAGGTGTGGAGTGACCCACAACGTGGATGGGTGAGGGAGGAGTCTGGCTGACCCACTAAGGTGCGCCTCTTCCTCAGGAATTAATCCTCAAATCCACCCTGCCTCCCATAGCTTGATGCGTCTCACACCACATATTCTCTGTTTATTTTTTCTTACGTATTTCATTATTATTATTAGTTATTAGTTCTTTTCATCCCACTGCACCGTCAGAGGAGGGTATAGGCTCGGTGTGTGTGTGTGTACGTACAATATTGTAACCGCAGTACATAAGTTCAATAATCAGACTTCTAGGACACTAGCTTAGTGTCTAACACTTTTTTTGTAATATCATCACCATTACTGTCAATATTATTTATGTGGGGCGCTAAATTTTTCGGAAAAAAAGGCAAATACTGAAGGCGATGTCACAAGAGAAGTCAAAATTTTGGCTAGGAATAAAAGTTTCAGGAAAAAAGTCACATTTTATTTAAATACCATTAACAATTAAAATAATAACAAAATTAGGTTAGGTTAGGTTTTCTGACTTTTTCCTGGATCAAGCACAACAGGCTGAGTATTGGACTCGACCTTCATGTCAGTTCTATAAAGATTCTTCTCATAGTTTATTTACCTCCAAATAGTCTTACTTAAAGCACTGTTGGATGATGGGTGAGAACATTTCCCTGAATCTCAATGTACTGTAGTCTTCAGTGAGATATTGAGGATGTGTTGTGTTCTGACCTCACTCAGTTGTGTTCTGACCTCACTAGAGGAAAGGATACGGCTGCTTAGCTCTGCTCCCGGGATAATTATCAGATATGGCTAGTGCTACTGGTGAACGGGGTTACGCCCTTCTGTGGACCGAGTTACAGAATACCAAAGAAAAAAACCTGAAATTAGAGTTAGAAAAATTGAAATGAAAGGAAGAGATAGCAAGAATGAAGGAAGAAACGGGACGAAGAAAGCCGGTGAATGACGATAACTCTGGGGAATGGAAGATTGTGAGGAGAGGGACGACGAAACTGGTGGTGAAGAAACACACCAAGGATACGACAACAACAGCTACGGCAGAAGAGACCTTTATGCTAGGGATGGGGTGCACCTGTCTAGGGAGGGGGTGGCAACCCTGGCGGGGTCTCTAGAGGGGGCAGTTCAAAAGATATCGAAGTCTTTAAACTGCTAGGGGAACATATGGGCACGGGGGTGAAGGAGACTGCAGCGGGAGCGGGTAAACAAAGTGAAAGATTACAGGGAAATAGTGTTAGGAATGATGACAAAACTAAATTAGACAGGGAGTTTAAACCTAAACGCGGTAAAGGGAGGACTCAGAACACGACTAACTTAAATGTCTACTACGCGAACAGTAGAAGTATGAGAAACAAAATGGATGATATTAGGGCCTTGGTATGTACCGAAAAAATCGATATAATAGCATTCACTGAAACATGGATCAACCTAGACTCACGTGAGTTACCTGTCGAATACCAAATTGCGGATTACAAATTGTTCCATACCGATAGGCCGTCCAGGAAAGGAGGCGGAGTATGCCATCTATGTCAGGGATAATCTGAAGTGCGAAATAAATAAGGAAATAAAAACTGAGCGGAATACAGAAACAAATTGGGTAGAATTAATCGACGGTAGGGAAAAATTAATCATAGGAGTAATATATAGACCTCCCAATCTTGATAGAGTTAATGAGTGACTTATCTGGGATGAAATGCGCAGGGCTTCCATACACAACAAAGTCTGTATAGTAGGCGATTTTAACCTTGGCCAAATAGATTGGACTGACCTTACGGGTAACTCAGTATCAGAGGATTTCCTCGAAACGATCCAGGACTGTTTCCTAAGTCAACATATAACCGAACCCACCCGGGGTAATAATATACTCGATTTAGTTCTGTCGAACAGAGAAAACCTCATTAGCAATGTCGAGGTAGGGAACGAACTTGCAAACAGCGATCACAAAGAAATTAGATTCCAGTTAGATTTTCAGGTCAGACGTAAAGGGAATTCCATTAAAGTCCCAGATTTCAGAAGGGCAAACTTTGATAGTTTAAAGAGGCAGCTGAGAGAGGGGGTGTCACGCTTGGATGTGAACCTGACAGATGACACCGACCTGATAACGAGATCTGAGATTGCCGAGTTCCACGACAATTTAAATAATGAGTTACTTAATGCACAAAGGCAGAACATACCATACAAAAAACTCAGATCAGACAACAATGACCCTAAATGGATAAATAATTATTTAAAGAACATTATTGGCCAAAGGAAGGCTATAGGTAGAAGGATAAATCGTGGCGAAATTTACCTCCGGGAGTATTATAAGGTATTGGCCGGTAGGGTTAAGACCGAGATAAGAAAAGCCAAGAGGAACTATGAACTGAAGATAGCAGGGGAGGCGAAAACAAACCCCAAAGGATTCTACCAAATGTATCAAACTAAAACACGAGATAAGATTGGACCAATACGTTCAGATACCGGCGAGCTAACTGATAACGAAGGAGAAATGAGCACCACCGAAAATTTAAACATGATACCCGAGGCACCGACTCTATTCAGAGAAAGTGAAGAAAACAAATTAAGCGAGATAGTAGTGACTAGTAACGATGTTAATAAGCAAATAGACAAACTGAAGCCTAATAAGTCACCTGGTCCCGATGAGATATTTGCCAGAGTATTAAAGGAATGTAAGGAAGAGCTTAGTATGCCCTTAGCAAAGTTGTTTAACATGTCATTAAAAACAGGTGTAGTACCAGAATCCTGGAGGATTGCGAATGTAATACCGATTTTCAAGAGGGGGGGATAGATCCCTATCCTCTAACTACCGCCCAATCAGTCTAACATCAATAGTAGGTAAATTACTAGAATCAATTATTTCAAACTCTATTCGAAACCACCTGGAGAAGCACAAATTGATCAATGATTCCCAACATGGCTTCATAAGCGGGCGTTTATGTCTATTATTATTATTATTATTTAACTAATCTATTACACCGGTCAACACAATTTTTCTGGCACAAGGTTTTTAAACGGATTTTAAGTAAATTTGGGGTGCAGAATCCAAATATGACTTTGGTTTTTGTCTATCACATCAGGTTTTTGAGATATACCATATTGCACTTTTGCTGGGAAACGTAAACTTTTGGATCAAAATTGACGGTTTAAACATGTATACATAAATTTTTTCAGCATTATAATTTGTATTTTTCTATAACCAAAAATTGTTAATATCAAATTGGAAATTTAATGCACATATAATATTTAAATGTAACATTGAAGGGTGAAAAAAACAATTAATGTACGGTAGAAATAGTGCAAGTATTAAGATCAAGTTACAGTTACATAAACTTCCTCTTTTTGGCCGATCTCTTATGTACAGCTTCTGGAATGTCTCTCATCAAACTCCAGCAGTAGTCCGCCATCATGTTCGAGTCCCATCGACCTTGGTAACGTTCTTCCATTACTTAAATGTCTTGATGAAAGCGCTCCCCTTGCTCCTCGCTCACTTCTCCCAGATTTTCTGGAAACTCGTCCAAGTGACTGTGTAAGTAGTGAACCTTGATACTCATTCTGCATCCAAGTGCTTGTAAACTCAAGAGCAGCTCTTCCACAATTTCTTGATAGTTGTCCGCTTTCTTGTTCCCTAAGAAGTTCCGCACCACATTAGAGAAAGCATTCCAAGTTCTTGCCTGTGCCTCAGTCATTGTTGCAAGGAAGTGTGGATCTCTGAGTAGTGTTCTTATTTGAGGTCCATCAAAAATCCCTGCCTTTTTCTTCTCGTCGCTAAGACTTGGAAAGGTTGAGCATATATATCTGAAACACTCTCCACTATGATCAAGAGCCTTGACGAATTGCTTCATGATACCAAGTTTTATGTGCAGAGGAGGAAGGACAATGTTTTTCCTGTCAACCAGAGGATCGTTAATGATATTCTTGTCACCAGGCGTCAAACTATGTCTTGGTGGCCAATTCTTTTTCACCCAATGGTCTGCTGTAGCCCTGCTGTCCCAGTAGCACAGAAAACAGGGGTATTTTGTGTACCCTCCTTGCTGGCCCAATAGAAAGTTTACCATTTTCAAGTCCACACAAATTAACCATTCATGAGCATGGTATTGCAACCTCTCTAGAACAGTCTTAATGTTTTCATACTCTTCTTTAATTTGTACAGAATGTCCGATTGGAATTGAACCATACTTGTTTCCGTTATGAAGAAGAACACATTTCAAGCTCCTTTTAGAACTGTCAATAAAAAGTCTCCAATCCTTACTATCATATGCTGGTAGTCCCATGGAGAGAAGAAGTCCTTCTACATCATTACAAAAAACAAGCTGGTCATATGAATGAAAGTACTTCCGCAGTTGCTCTTCTCTGTTGCGATAAAAGGAGACACTCGTGCCAGGTTTTAAGAGTCGTTTCTCTTGAAGCCTGGAAGCTAACAATTCAGCAGACTGTTTTGGCAAATTTAGATCTCTGACCAGATCATTCAATTCTGACTGAGTAAACAACGTTGGCTTTTCACAATCTTCACCAGATGGCTTGAAAAGATCAGTCTCTTCATCTTCATCAGTAGAAACAGGTGAATTCCGGTCTATATCCTCAATCTCTGGTAGCTCAGTAAATTCTGGCACGTTACGTGATGGAGCAAATCTGAGATCAGATTTGGATTCAGCACCTTAAAGTTAGTAAAAAAC